CAAAAGTGTAGGGTCATGCTCCTTGACATGCAGTCACTGAGCACGCCACCTACGACCCAGGAGGAGGTATTGGAAGCTGTGGAGCGTTTTACGTTCATTAAAATCTGTATTAGTTCTGATTTTAATGTGACAGATGAGATTACTGTACGAATCTCCAAGGCTCCGGGAACTCTTCTAATATGAGACACCTATGGCGTCAAAGCAGTATATCCGTGAATCTCAAGGAACGTGTGTATCGGGCTGCTGTGTGGTCCGTTTTAGTTGTTTGGATGTGAGACTTGGCCCGTTTGAGCAGCGAAACTGGGGGATCTCCAGGTGTTCGACAATCGCTGTCTCAAAACCATGGCTCGTGTGGTTTAGTGCCGGCGTATCCGTACCAAGGCAATTAGAAAGCAAGTTTTCGGTTTTCAATGGGTACTTCGACCAAAGAATATGTCCAGCATCAGAGGCTACGTTGGTTTGAACATGTGTTGCCGTTTACCGAAGAAAGTGCTGTTTTCCGTGCCAGATTGAGAATAGCGGAAGCACAGAGGTGGCCAACCCCTGACGTGGTAGAAGACTAGAGAGGAGCCTACGAAATATATGGGTGCTGTCGGTGCTACTCGCCCTCTAAGTTATGGACAGCGTGATCCCGACTGCGCCTGGTTACAGACGCTGCAGGAAATGGCTGCCAATCGATCTCAGAACCGTTCTTGTTGTCTTCCTATCCAGATTGCCTGAATGAGTGTATGAAAGTGTAAGTCCCTTCCCTATCCACCTCCATTCTTTTCTTCACAATGAGGCTTTCAAGTCTATCACAGTCCAACGGCAGTGAAGCATCAGTGTCGAACACTGATGTCATACTGTCGATGCTGATGATGGTGGTAGTGATGCTTCCCCGAGATCTTGTTTTAAAGTTCTATTCAGAGAAGCCGAAGGTTTTATCGGTTGTTTATTGCTGATGGTGCAGTGCTGTCTCCACTCTTCTGACCATGTCCTTTCACAATCAGGTTAACCGTTCGTTTTTACCCTGACGGATTCCTCTGAGTATTATTTGAGACACAATTGTACTTTACACCACACTGAGTAACTCAAACTAAGATTCATGCAACTGCTGTTTGTTTCCATTAGGCTCGACATATTCCAGTATCATTTACCTAATTTTCCATCTTGTACCTGTTGGTTCGGTGTTTCTTGTGAGATCCTTCTTACTAACTGAGCTGGACGATTTCACTCTATACCTAGGAGACGACCATCATCCTAAAGTGAACGGTATATCCATCTATCGGTTTGTTTACTGACGTACCACACCAGTTCTTGGACGATACCCAAAGACCGAATTGGTTAAACCGTAATGAATGGCTTAGTACCTCACTGTTAGCCCTACTATGGCTTAGAGGCTTAGTTTTCCACAATAACAAGACTTCCAAGTCCGAGTGGTGCCGAAAATGATGATAACTTTTGATAGCCACTCAAGGGGTCTATTTTCCTCCTCATTCATTCTGTTGTTAGGCTGGCAAGGGATCCCTCCTTGAGGGACAAGATCTGGAAGGTACTACACATGATGATCCTGTGCTAGGCATATCATCACATGCTAAACGAATTCCCTTTTTTTGGTTATTTTAGTTTTGGAAGAAAATAGTGAGAATGTTGAGTCACTGTCGCTGCTTTCATTCCACGGCAAACGCATAGCCCTGTTCATCTCACAGCAACCTGACGGTACATAAAGGAAACCGATTTCCTTGCAATAAGAACCTAGCATTATCCCTGCTTTTTTTAACTGAGGAAGATATGGGCTGGCTTTCCAAAACGGATACACAACCTTACGGAAAAGCAATTTTGCTTCTATGCTCTGGCAAAATGCCTAAAACTTGCTCTTGCAATCACTCAATCA